TAAATCACCACAAACTACCATAAATCACGATAAAACCACTATACATCACCATGAACTACCATAAATCACCATGAATTACCATACATCACCATAGACTACCATAAATCACCATAAACTACCATAAATCACCATGAACTACCATAAATCACCATAAACAACCATAAATCACCATGAATTACCATACATCACCATAGACTACCATAAATCACCATAAATCACCATGAACTACCATATATCACTATAAAACTACCATAAATCACCATGAACAACCATAAATCACTATAAAACTACCATAATTCACCATGAACAACCATAAATCACTATAAAACTACCATAAATCACCATGAACTACCATAAATCACCATGAACTCCCATAAGCAACGCAGCAGCAGTAGTGAGGCTGGCGCAAACAATGGGTTTTCTCTGCGACTCACGTGTCATTCCCAGAATATTAAGGCAAGCCTTTTATAGTGTAGTGACGTCAAGAGGTTGCCAGAAATACCTCCCCTCTCAACACCACAACGTAAACACCATACTATTACAACTACTTCTTCTTCTACTACTACTATTACTCTCTCTCTCTCTCTCTCTCTCTCTCTCTCTCTCTCTCTCTCTCTCCGAAACTACTATAGGTCATAGTATTCTCGGCAAAAAACAGGTAACGAATGCGACTGTGAGTTAATTAATTCCGAGTTACACAAGTATGACAGAAAAGAATGTGTCTTCAATTATCCTTATTGGATTACAACAACCCGGAACTATGGATTACAACAACCCGGAACTATGAATTACAACACCCGGAACTATAGATTACAACACCCGGAACTATAGATTACAACACCCGGAACTATGGATTACAACACCCGGAACTATGGATTACAACACCCGGAACTATGGATTACAACACCCGGAACAATAGATTACAACACCCGGAACTATGAATTACAACACCCGGAACTATGAATTACAACACCCGGAACAATAGATTACAACACCCGGAACTATGAATTACAACACCCGGAACTATGAATTACAACACCCGGAACACACAACTTCACAGTCAAATGTTGTAATGAAGTTGTTGTGATATAGTTAGCAATAATAATGAGGTTTTATATTTCTATGTAGAATGTTGTGTTGTTGTTGTTGTTGTTGTTGTTGTTGTTGTTGTTGTAGTTATAATGCACCACACTGAAAAAATAAAACCGATGGCACACTGGACTACCGCATTGTCTCACACTAGCACACAATGACCTTGACACACAACCAAATTAACTCACAGCAACACGATACCACACACTACAACGCTACCGCACACACTACCACACACACACTACCACACACTACCACACCACACTACCACACACACTACCACACACTACCACATACACTACCACACCACAACACACTACCCTACAACACACTACCATTGTAAACTCTACTCTGTAATCCTTTTGCGCTACCGCTCACAGGATGAGTGTGGGGTGCACAATAAAGTAGCCGCTGTAAGTGGCATAATCAAATCCCACTAAAATTCCCTTCCATCCTCTCTTTAAACTTCCACTGCACCTCCTTCACCCCTGTCACTAGCCGTTGAGGGATTGAGTCTGGTGTCGTAGTCTGGGTATGTGTTGGAGGTGGTGGTGGTGGTGGTGGTGGTGGCGTAGGCGGCGGCGGTAGTGGTGTTGAGAGAGTGGTGGTGGTGGTGGTGGCGAGAGGGTGGTGGTAGGCGAGAGAGTGGTGGTGGTGGCGGTGGTGTTGAGACAGTGGTATGAGAGGTGGTGTGGTATGAGAGAGTGGTAGTGGTGTATGAGAGAGTGGTGTAGGGTGGCGAGGAGAGAGTGGCAGGGGGTGGGGAAAAGGAGGTAGTCATGGCGTTACAGGTGTTGGGGGAGTTGGTTCCACAAAACATTGATTGGTTTTTGCTCATTAATGCCTCGCATGAACAAGTCACGGGGATTCTGATGGACTGACCTGCCCAACACTTCGTACACCGCCCACTACTGTATGTGTGTGTGTGTCTAGAGAGGCTATTAAGAGTTGTCTTAATAATGACGGTCGTTCTACAAGAGAATTACAGTAAATGATGTCTTTTATATTTGCAGTAAATATATATATATATATATATATATATATATATATATATATATATATATATATATATATATATATATATATATATATATATATATATATATTCCATTAAGCAAGTGGCTACATTACACTTATTCTTGATGTATAAGAATTTTAAATGCCATGATCACGGAACAGCACAATGTAACAACAACTGTCAGACGTAGCAGGGTACATACAGTACGTAGCCAGAGGTGGCCGCGAAGATGGCAAGGCGGACGTGCGCAGTACTCCCACACCCTTTGGCGCGCCGCGCACCCATCACATGCACCAGCCAACACCAGTTTCATTCATAAACATGACTGTTGAGACATTCTACCTGATTCGCAACATTTTACCTTCCAACAGCGTTAACGAACAATAAATTATCAATGAATTGAAAAGGAAGCTTTGCAACAGGAATCCAATAACTGAGAGCAGTATGAAATAAAAGATATGTGAGCAGAAAATGCAGGCACATCGTACGCCAGACACGGCGCAGCAGGTTGGTGGGTGGCAGCGTAGGACACACTGGGTTATACTTGCCGTGCCAGGAGCATCGTGCTAGCCTCGCCCTATTTTTATACCACGACAGCGATATTGCCGCTGCAAGGAGTCATAATGTGGAGCATCACTGATGGCACTCTGGGTACCGCGAAGCACTAGGCACTACTTGGCCGCCACCTGGCACTCGAGGGAGAGGAAGGTTATAAGGCCACCACCCCCCCTCCTGTCCCACCCATCTGCTACGTCACCCACTGCCTCTATATACGTCACCCACTCCCTCTATATACGTCACCCACTCCCTCTATATACGTCACCCACTCCCTCTATATACGTCACCCACTGCCTCTATATACGTCACCCACTCCCTCTATATACGTCACCCACTGCCTCTATATTACGTCACCCACTCCTCTATATACGTCACCCACTCCCTCTATATACGTCACCCACTCCCTCTATATACGTCACCCACTCCCTCTATATACGTCACCCACTGCCTCTATATACGTCACCCACTGCCTCTATATACGTCACCCACCCCATTTTACCAAATATACTATGTTAGATAATGCTCCATGTCTTATAAGGTTTCAACTTAAGCTAACCTAACCTAACCTAATCCAACTTAACTTAACCTAATCCAACCTAGCTTTACCTAATCCAACCTAACTTTACCTAATCCAACCTAACCTAACCTAATCCAATCTAACCTAACTTTCATCTTCTGTTTCATTATATTATTTCGATTTTCATGTTTCTATTTGTTTCATGTTTCAAAATGTTTCATCGTATTTATAAATTTGATATTAATATTTCATTTCACACAATAATTTCATGTTAAGGTTTCAATAAATAAAGGAAATTCAGAATCCATTGTACAAATCCAAGGAATGTGTAGTGAGTGTATTGTGTAGTAGTTGCATTGTGTAGTGGTTGCATTGTATAGTGATTGTATTGTGTAGTAGTTGCATTGTGTAGTGGTTGCATTGTATAGTGGTTGTATTGTGTAGTAGTTGTATTGTATAGTAGTTGTATTGTGTAGTAGTTGCATTGTGTAGTGGTTGCATTGTATAGTGATTGTATTGTGTAGTAGTTGCATTGTGTAGTGGTTGCATTGTATAGTGATTGTATTGTGTAGTAGTTGCATTGTGTAGTGGTTGCATTGTGTAGTGGTTGCATTGTATAGTGGATGTATTGTGTAGTGGGTGTATTGTGTAGTGGGTGTATTGTGTAGTGGTTGTATTGTGTAGTGGGTGTATTGTGTAGTAGTTGCATTGTGGGTGTAATGGGTATAGTTTATAGTGGGTGTATTGAGTAGTGGTTGTGCTGTGTAGTAGTTGTATTGTGGGTGTAATGGGTATAGTTTATAGTGGGTGTAGTTGGTGGTGGGTGTAGTGGGTGGTGGCTGTAGTTGGTGGTGGGTATAGTGGGTGTAGTGTGTAGTGGGTGTATTGTGTGGTAGGTGTAATGGGTGGTGGGTGTTATATATGGTGGGTGCACTGGGTTGCGTATGCAGTGGGTGGTGGGTGTAGCGTGTTTAATGGGCGGTGGGTGTAATGGGTGGTGGGTATAGTAGCTGGTGGGTTTAGACTGTAGAGGGCGGTGGGTGGTGGGTGTAGAGGGCTAGTGTGTAGTGGTCAATAGGTTTTATGATCACACTATTCTCCCTGGTAGTAAAAATAAAATTTCCTTAAGCACTTGCATACAGTACACTCCTGATTGCTCTGTATATTATCGTGATGCAACATTCAGTCACAACTGCGTAGGCTGGAACATTCGTGTTGCATCAGTGTGCAAGGTTAGGCCAGGGCTGCTGTTGCATTAGGTCAAATTTGTAGTGGCTGTACTAGATCACGTCAGTGATGACCTTACATCACTCACTCTCCTCTCACTATCACTCTGGGAAATTAATGTGTTCAGTGAATCTTTGTAAAATGGTTGGGAAACCCAGAGTGTGGTGACGCGAGGTGTGGCGGCCACCTGCGTGAGATCTGTCGCTGTTCCTGGGAATTGAGAAATGGTGTGACTCATTCAGTCAACTGGCTGCTGCTGCTGCTGCTGCCGAGGTCATGGTGGGCGGAGTCTCGCTGGTCACCGCCCCATGACATCACATTGAAAGTGCCGGTTCGAGAAAGCTCTGGAATTTCCACGATTACTGACTGTCCAGCCTGCTGCCATGAGCCACACAGATTAAAAGAGCAGGTCGAAACGGGAAGGTGACGATAGTCAAAGGTAAAGAGAAAGAGAGAATAGAGCGTGTGTGTGTGTGTGTTTGTGTGTGTGGCCACGTCGGTAGCGCCAGTGTGTGTATGTGTGTACGTCTGTGCGTGTTACAGCAGGCAGCGTGGGCGCCAATACTGGTCGTACGCCTGGCACGCGGGCCCAGCTACTAGCGCCGCCTCCATACTCTGCTGCTCACATGTGCTGTGCGTCACTTTCCCGGAGTCAGCAGTAAACAACTAACCGTGGTGGACCTCGTAACCCGGAGAGCCATCCACGGTACCGCTCGCCCTTACCCTTTAGTGCAGTTGACTGGATCTCATCTTGCCCCTGCACCAGGATATTCAGTGACACAATAAGCACTCTTGGATTTCTCATCATTTATCTAGTGCGAGGTGAACAACTACGTAGTAGCTTAAGCCAGGGCATTGGTAGCCTAGCGATGGTGCCAGTCAATGAATGTTGCTTAGTGACACACTGGCGCTGCGCGTAAACATCAGAGGGTTCAGTCCAAGTTGTGCCGTGGCAGCGTGTGGTTGTGTTTCCGCCTGCCTCCGCCCCCTTCCCACACTTGTCGAGAAATTGTCATTTACTTGAACATTATTCAAGTGAAATATATTTTGGACACAAATGTTGAAACGAAAAGGATACACGTTATAGTGCAAGTGCGTTAACGCGCTTGGGTCTGAAAATAGTCCTCTAAATGGTGTCGCGAGCAAAGGGTTCAACGGGGACGATGGCGCTTCACTGTTCACAAGCCAAACTGTGGGTGAAGACCCACTATGAACGTCACGAGGATGGTGTGGTAGCCAAGTCGGTCATGTACAAGCATTATGAGGACTATTGCCGCGATCAGGGCCGCAACATTATGGAGACCAGCATCTTCGGCCGCGTGGTCAAGTCCGTTTTCCCTGACGTAACCATCCGGCGTCTAGGAGGACGAGATAACCTCAAGTACTACTATTGTGGCATCCAAGCTAAGGAGTCCTCCCCACACGTTATCGACAACGCTACCACTACTAGACCCAAACGTCGCTTGCGTAAGAGAGAAGTTGTTACGGACAAGACTGACGTTCACCGGTGTTTGTTGTGGCTACACAATAACTACTGTGTCGGCCCCGACTCCTCCGTCATCAAGTCAGAGGTCTACGACCGCTACGTGTTGGACTGCATAGCATCCGCGGCTGACCCGTTACCCATGCAATACTTCGGCATGGTGGTGAGCCACGCCTTCCCACACATCACCAAGAGGAAGCTGGGGCCAAGAGCCAACCAGCAGAAATTCTATTTTGGCATTCAGGAGCGACCCGCCCCGCTGCCCCTCGACACTGTCCCGCCGGAGCTCATGCGTGAGGTCGATTTCATGTTCAATAATGGCAGATTATGTTACCGGGAGGAGGTGGATCCCGACGACGACGATGAAGACGACGACGACCGCAGCTGTCGCAGCCCGGTGTCAGACACGTCAGAAGGGTCTCTCCGTGACGCCCACACACCATACTCAGGCGAGCCTCCCGGTGCCCATGCCAACCCTTATTTCCACACCTACATTAAGGAAGAGCCCGTAAACTACAGCCTTCAACATTTAAAACTGAAAGATGAACCATTAGACATTGAATGCACTATTAAAGTGGAACCGTTAGACCTACACATCCCTCGCGACGTCCATGATATGGACACCTCTTACATGCCCAGTCCTGAGAGATCTCCGTCAGTTGCTACTTCCATAAGTGATTCTCCGAGTCCCTCAGTTAAAGACCAGAAAACTAGGAAACTCTATAAACCTCGTTTTCACATTATATCGGGTTATAATGATGACGTTAGTTGGAACAGTGACCCAGATCCAAAGATGGAAAAGGACGGAGTGCAGTACTGTAATAATTCTGTTCATTCACAGTGGGAGACGTTCTTGAGGGACTGGTTATCGCGAACATTTGAGGAATGTGAGAGAATGTGTGTAAATAGGGATCAAGTGTACGCTTATTATGAGAAGGTCTGCGAAATGACAGGTACTATCGTGCTACCACTTACATATTTCGATGAGACAGTGCTCAAGGTGTTTCGTGGCGTAGTCACCATGATTCATCCATCAGAAAAGACATTCTACGAAGGAATTCGTGTTCAAATACATTCCGATTTTTATAGCCGTATCGAGGAGTTAATCGATGGCGAGCCTTGCATTCATCACTTAATAGATGGTGAGGCCAGCATGCAGCAACATTCCATGGAACTGTCGCCCCCGCCGGGCGCCGCCCCCCGGATCTCTCCACAAATGCTCGACGAGGACGAAGCGGCCGATGAACGTTATGCTGACAACTACCGTGACCCCCCTGACGAGGAACTACATTCCACCCCGGAGGTGCTACGAGATGGCAAGTACTACCTGCGTATGTGGCTCACTGATAACTTCGAGTCCTTGCCTGACTCGTGCGTGCTGAAGGCCGATGCTTACCGGCACTACGAAATTTACGCAAAGACCATCAAACAGACCCCATTTGAAATGAACGTGTTCGGTAAGATTGTGCGTCAAGTATTCCCCAAAGTAACAATCCGGCGTCTTGGCGGACGTGTCAAACCTCAGTATCATTACTGTGGCATCGCCGTCAAAACTTCAAGTCCTCTCTTCCAATACATGAGTGGGAGGGACCCTGCACAACGCTCCAGGAAGAAGGAGATCGCTACGGACAATAAGAGTGCCGAGATTGTCATAGACTGGTTACGGAGTCACTATGAGCCAGGCACGGAGAGGATAATCATGAAGAGTGCAGTCTTCAGCAATTATTGTGCTTATTGTAAGTCCATTAACGAAAACCCAGTCACTCTGAACTATTTCGGCAAGTTAGTGAAGCATTGTTTCCCTAACGTGGAGGTGAGGAAATGTGGCGGCCGTAGCGAACCTACTTGGTACTACTTCGGTCTAGTTCCTCGTGGGGAGATGGGGGCAGTGTTCAGCAGCTCCCACCACCACCACCACCACCACGACCTCCAAGACGACATCCAAGTGCCCCAGACTACCCTCAGTGAACCCAGACAGCTTAGTCCCATGGGTCATGACCTCGGCCACAGTATACCTTCACACACTACTAGTCCCATTCCAATATCTCTCAACAAGGGTGAGATGGGAGCCCACTTGGCCGCCCCGCCTAATGGTTCCTACAGTTCCTCCATGATGCTCCAGTCAGTGCTGCTCAACCAGCACGTTAATCTTGCTCAATCACCGCTCCTTAATCGCCGGTCACCCTTCCACGGATCTCCGGGCGAAGGGCTACTAGAGGCGTCGTACCAACGGCCACCCCATGACTTATGTGGTGCTTCCCCAACCCGCACCTATCCCGACCATCTAGCCTCTCACTCCCCGGCAGCTGAGGGTAGCAGCCTGCAGGAACTGCGGCGCCAGCTTCTGGCCCGTTCGCCTTATGAGCCTGTCGATGTTCCCTCTGACAACATGTTCTCCCGCTCACCAGGGGACACTTCGGCGCAGTACTGCAGGTCTCCCCGCGAGCTACTGGACGGAGAAGCCACCTTGCCAGCGCACTCACCCGCCGACACCTCCATCATGTTCTCTCACTCACCGCTGGAGGCCAACTACCCCGGGGCTGTGAGGCCGCGCTCCTCCCTGGCGGGGGGCAGTGGTGGTGGGCAGGTGGTGCCGCGCCTCCAGCCGCAGCAGCTGGTCTTCGACTCCCAGGCTCACAAGAGACACAGAGGTCAACCCCAGATGCACCTAGACCACTACGACATGATGAATGATATACAGCTGGAGTGAGCCAGCCCATCTCATCTCTCTTGTTCTGGTGAGTTATCTCTTATTGTGCAGTAGTGATGGTTAGGGTTAGGTTAGTTTAGTCATTGGTAATAAAAGAAGTTAATGGTGATTATGGTGAAATATGGGAGTGGTTGAAGAGTATGGTAAAGTAGAATGGTCATAATAGTGTGTTGAGTAGTAATAGTAGTGTGACTTACGTAAGTGAGGGGCTGTAGTGAGGTAAGGGTTGTTATTCACGGGGTGACTTACACAATAAATCGTGGTTATGGTGAGGTACAAGTTGTGGTTAAGTGATAGTGATATGGTTAATGGTGACGTGTAGTGTTAATGTTGGTTAGTGGTGACGTGTGGTGTTAATGGTAAGGTGTAGTGTTGGTGATGGTGACGTGTAGTGTTAAAGTTGGTTAATGATGATGTTTAGTGTTAATGTTGGCTAATGGTGACGTGTGATGTTAATGTTGGTCATTGGTGAGGCGTGGTGTTAATGGTGACGCATTCTTAATGTTGTGTTTATGGTAAGATATAATGTTACCAAGACGCAATTATGGTGATACTATTGTGGTAATTAGTAATCATGGTGTTATAGTGCTATTAAATAATGGCTATTTATTAAGTGATAGTTATGGTGTTGAAATGGTCGTGTTATGGTGTTCTATTGATATTTAGGTTGAAACAAGAGTGGTTACCGCGTGTTATGGTGCAAGTGATGGTCATAGTGTATTGTGCGTTATAGTGAGCTGGGTGGTTGTTATGCATTAGTAGTTGTTCTGGTTATCCCCCTGGTTGATTAATGAGAGTTGTGTGGTTATGGTATGTGGTAGTTGTGTAGTTATGGTGGGTGGGACCTGTATGGTGTTTAGTGAGTAACACCTGTGTGATTGTAGTGAGTGGTATTGTGCAAGTTATGGTAAGTCAAGGCGGATAGTTTATGATGTTATGGTTTTGTGAATTACGGTGATGTGGTAATGTTGTAAGTTCTTTTGGTTGCGTAATGGTACAATATGGTGTGTTGTGTCAAGTTATGGTGTGTTGTGTCAAATTATGGTGTGTTGTGTCAAATTATTGTGTATTGTGTCAAATTATGGTGTGTTGTGTAAACTTATGGGGTTAATGAAGTTATGGTGTTATGTGAAGTTATGGTGTGTTGGGAAGTTATGGTGTGGTGAAGTTATGGTGTTATATGAAGTTATGGTTTTATGTGAAGTTATGGTGTTGTGAAGTTATGGTGTACTGTATCAAGTTATTGTGTTGTGACGTTATGGTGCTATGTAAGGTTATGGTGTTGTGAAGTTATGGTGTTGTTAAGTTATGGTGTATTGTCAAGTTATGGTGTGTTGTGTCAAGTTATGGTGTATCGTGTCAAGTTATGGTATATTGTGTCAAGTTATAGTGTTATGTGAAGTTATGGTATATTGTGTCAAGTTATAGTGTTATGAGAAGTTATGGTGTATTGTGTCAAGTTATGGTGTTATGTGAAGTTATGGTGCTGTGTCAAGTTATGGTGTTATGAGAAGTTATGGTATATTGTGTCAAGTTATTGTGTTATGTAAAGATATGGTGTTATGTGAAGTATGGTGTGTTTTGTCAAGTTATGGTGTTATGTAAAGTTATGGTGTTGTTCCAAGTTATGACTAATGAATGGTGAACAAGTATTTATGGTCAGGTATGGTTTGGTTAGGTTAGGTTAGCATAATGAGCTATGCTTGAAGTGGTGGTGTTATGGTGATTGTTGTAAATTTTAGGTTATGGTGGTTGTATGAGTAGTGAGGTATGGTGATGTGAAGTATAGTGAGTGGAGTTTCGGTGAGTCATTGGGGAGTGGTGTTTGTATTATGGTGACGGGTAGTTGTGAATTGTGGTTAGTGTTGTGTAGTTAGGTAATAGTGGGAGTTGGTTATGGTGAATGATAGTAATGGTGACTGGTGTGTTATGGTGAATGATAGTAATGGTGACTGGTGTGTTATGGTGAATGATAGTAATGGTGACTGGTGTGTTATGGTGAATGATAGTAATGGTGACTGGTGTGTTATGGTGAATGATAGTAATGGTGACTGGTGTGTTATGGTGAATGATAGTAATGGTGACTGGTGTGTTATGTAAGAAATAGTTATCTGTGATAGTGTTGTTGTTGTGAGTTATAGTGAAGGATATTGTGTTATGTCATCATTTGTTGTATTATGGTTGTATTATGTTTTCCTTATAATGACACCAACACTATCACCCAACACCATCACCCAACACTATCACCTAACAGTCACCCAGCACCATCACCCAACACTATCACCCAGCACCATCACCCAACACTATCACCCAACAGTGTCACCCAACACTATCACCCAAAACTCACCTAACACCATCACCCAACACTATCACCCAGCACCATCTTAGCACCATCACCCAACATATCACCACAACACTATCACCTAACAGTCACCAGCACCGTCACCTTACTATCACCCAGCACCATCACCCAACACCTATCACCCAAAACTCACCTAACACCATCACCTAACACTATCACCTAACACCATCATACTACTATCACCCAACACCATCACCCAACACCATTACTAACAGTCACCAGCACCATCACCCAACACTATACTAACACTATGCACAACATTACCCAGCACCATCACCCAACACTATCGCAGCACCATCACACCCAACACTATCACCAAAAACTCACTACCATCACACAACACTATCACCTAACACCATCACCCAACACTATCACCTTTTATACCCAACACACCATTACCTAACAGTCACCCAGCACCATCACCCAACACTGTCACTTAACACTATCACTTATAACAGTCCTCCCACTATCACCCAGCACCATCACCCAACACCATTACCTAACAGTCACCCAGCACCATCACCCAACACTGTCACCCAACACTATCACCTAACAGTCACCCAGCACCATCACCCAACACTGTCACCCAACACTATCACCTAACAGTCACCCAGCACCATCACCCAACACTGTCACCCAACACTATCACCTAACAGTCACCCAACACTATCACCCAACATTATCACCTAAGAAAACCTTCAGTGTGTGTGTGTGTTGTACAGGTAGAGGCCCCAGGTGTAGTCGCTAATACCCTGTGTCCATCTAATTGTGTCACCATTTGACTTCCGGAGTAAATATTGAGTGTTTACCTCCGAGACTATTTTATTTTGTGATTTTTTTTTTACTTAATATTTCGTGACTTTAAATGATATGGCCGTTATTAAGTGTTCCAGAAATTATCTATATTATTATTTACTCGCGGTAATTGATCTCTATACAGGTGTAGGTCTAGTTAACAGGTACCTCCATAATTAAAGTTTCTAGGATCGTGGAAATATTTTGTACAAATATTTATGAAGTTTCTGTCGGTTTGTTAAATTATTTTTAGAATCATAAGTGTGCGAGCAGCCTTGACCTTGAGCACCAGTCCCCCCGTGCTGACTGTGTCAACACTAATGTGAAAAATATCTAAACTTTTCCCCACACGGTTCTCCCCCAGGAATTTAGAAATAGTTGTGTGTGTGCGTGTGTGTGTGTGTGTGTGTGCGTGTGTGTGTGTGTGTGTGTGTGTGCGCGTGCGTGCGTGCGTGTGTGCGTGTGTGTCCCGCTAAATTGAGATAATTGCCAATTAAGCCTTAAAAAGCAACTGAGGTTTTTGCCAAATAAGGATAACTTTTTTTTTATTGCCATAACTCGTTTCACTGATGGTGTCGTTTACTATCATAAGAGAGCAAAATTATACCTAAAGTAAATTAAGTGAGGTTATGTCAGGTTTTCTATGATACTTCATTTACATGTATATTTATGATCTACATCAGCGTTTATGGCCAGTCAAAAGTTAAAAAAAACATGAATACATGCCGGTATAAGTTATTGCTAATCATCCCCATATGTATACTGTATATATATATATATATATATATATATATATATATATATAAAAACAACGACACCTTAACACTGATATTTAATTTAAAACACTCTTTAAAATAACTGGATTTATGAATGAGAGAAACTTAAATATACAGGGTATTTTATTATGCTGAGGTCAGGTCATAACTCAATGTCATCTTTAATACCGAAGTTGACTAGTCAAGTGGTCAAACATCAAGGAGACACTAAACCACTTCTCTACATCAACCAAGGTTTTAAAGCAGATTATTTGAATTCTTTTTTAATACGAACAGAGCACTGCTTTTGAATGCTGTTCTGATATTACATACCTGTTTGTTTGATTCTGAGCTGCAATGTTTTTTCTGTCTGTCTCTATGATGCCATTTTGCTGCATAGATACAATAACATTTACATTGAAACTTGGGCTCTTTTGATTAACATATATGGTATCGTTTTACATTCATGCTTGAAAACACCTAACATTAATATTTAGCAATGATTTAAAGGATACAAACTAACAGGGATGATTATCATTTGCGATAAAAGGCGGTCAAAATATTCATAAGTGTAAAATTGCCTGGTTTTGATGAAAATGAAAGGATTTTTAGCCCTTTAAAACAATGATCCTTTCTCTAAACACAGAAGGGTACTAAGTTTTTGTGCAATGGAAATGTTTCAATTCTTCATCAATAAAATTAGCGTCACAAATACGCAAACATCTCAGCACATACATACATACATACATTCTGTATATATATATATATATATATATATATATATATATATATATATATATATATATATATATATATCAGGAAGTGTTCCGCAAGTGTCAAGTTTATTTACTTCTGCCACTGTGGTTGCTTGTATTAGCCTCTCCTGTTTTCAGCAGAATCATTTCACGTGCCATAGTCCTCATCTCAATCACCTGTGCCTCTAATCAGATGTGCCTCCCACAGCCCAATGGTCCCTCACAAAATGCCCTTGCCCGCAGAAGTGCCACTCCACCAGTGGTGTCTCACAATTCCTCCTGAAGGGTCTGTAATTTGGTGACCTCACAAAATATTTCTTGAAATAATTCTTTTCCTCATAGCCCCAAGTGGTGCTCCTTCACAGGTCTTTTATTCAGGAGTGGCACCCATCGGAAAAGCAATGTTACCAGCCAGCAGGGTGGTTCATACCTGTCAGGGAGTAGTAATTCAGAAACAGCAGTGGGGGTTTCTCCCTCATGTAACCACCCACATCCAGTTTACTTGGGCAAAAGCAGCAGCCTGTTTTATTATCATGTTTTCCTTCAATAGACCAATTACCTTCTCTCATGGCTGCTCCCTTGCTGCTAGAAAAGCTCCTGTTCTGTCTCTCTATTTCGCACTCAGAAATTTTCCTGCCTTTAATTGCTCTCTCTTCCACCCCTCGCTGTCTCCCTGTGTCTCAGATATTTTCCTGTGATATAAAAATACTTGCACTTTCTTGGCACAGTGATTTCTCTGTTTACCACATCATTTGCTCCTGTTGCTGAAAAATTTTTCCTGTGTGATATGAAAATGCTAACTGTACAGCGGAAATGCTAATCATGCCAGAGATGCTTCCCAGTCTCAGTACCTGCTTACTATATACAACAACTTTATGTATTGGCTTAATAATGCATCATTACCTACGAAATATTTCATATGCAGCAGGGTTCTTAGTGAGATTCTAATGACCCCACCTGCAGATTTTGAGCCAGACCAGAACCGAAAAGAGCCAGGCCGACAAAAGATCGCTGAAGACCAAAATTTCCGAGATCTTTGATGGTGTCGAACGATGACCATTCTAAAAGAACTTTTGACGAGAACATCAGGTCACTTCTGGTACAGTGAATACTTGGGGTGCCAGAAGGGATACAGAGAACCATGAGAACCGACCTAACCGAGGGTTCACTCAGTGTTTTATCAAAATTATCATCGTCCTGTGGTGATTCTCTCCTCCTCCTCCTCTTACTCTCTCTCCTACCTTGTTCACTCTGCATCCTGCCACTCTACATCTGCTCCCATCATCTGCATTTCCTTCCCCCCAGTTCTCCAAGACTATGATAAGCAAGAAGCAGTACCGGACTCCACACGATGACACACACACACACACTGGACGTGAACAGAAACTTTACTTCAGCTAGTAAATGTACCATTGGTCTTTTCATTAATTTTATTTATTTTCATTTATTGATATTAGACTGGTGTGGTTTTTCTTTAATGGATTTTATAATACAGAGTTTATTTTCAAGTTATTTTAATTAACCTTTCTTGTATGTGTGTGTTTTTGTATGTATACATATATTTATATATATATATATATATATATATATATATATATATATATATATGTGTGTGTGTGAGGGGCTCACTTTATTTACCGGTGGTCAGCTGAACTTTACCTGAGGGCATCAAGACGTGAACACAAAAGATTACGGCCCTGAAAAAAACATCACAGAAACACACAGAACAACAGCTTCGTTAATGAATGTGGCAACCCATTGTTTCTAGAGCAAACAAGTTACTAATGACCAATCAAAGGCGTAGAAAATCATAATAATAATAAGAAGAAATATATGTTGTGGTTCGCTCCAAGCAACAAATAACAATTATAATCTCTTGGACCAAAGATGAGCTGAAAACATCCAAAATAAATAATACCAAAACATCCATTTGTAATATTAAGTAACTACTGAAGTCATCTGTTAACATCGAGTCTATTCAAGCCAATGATGAGTTTGCCGGCACATTAATGAAGATAAGCTCCATACTGAAACAACACCAGCCACCACCAATCTTAGCAACCGACTCACAGCTCGAAGGAATTCTCTCTGTGGGGATATACTGCTGGTATGAAAGGTATATGTCACCATCTACCATATAACACATCAAAGATAATATAGTCTGAAGTGTTTGACGAATTCTCTATCAACCAAATCCTAAAAATATATATAGAATCACATGAAGATTAGCACTCGGTGTATTAACCACCATAAACCATCCACAGCGTGCATCACCACATAATTTCATTACGAAGTGCCCACTCATTTTTTGTGCCTCCTTATTTAACTGTGGCTGCCTATCTACTTTACCTCTGAATGGTTTGGGTATTGTTCAAACTGTTAAACCTTACCGCTTATCCAATTCTACACCATGCTTTCCTTACACATCTGCACACCACTATCTCACATATGTCTCTCAGCTCCACTTCAATTCCCCTGACTGTTAGTTCGCGCTGCTCAGCAGCACACAGCACTCACCAAATGTCCTAATTAGTTGCTTAGCAATTCACCTACTTTTCGCATGCTTCAGCTTCTCCACCTACCACACACCACATCTACCACACTTGCACCTCCCAGACCACAGCACACATACCACACTGTGAAAAAAATTATTACAGATTAAACTTTCGTGAATTCTTGATTAACAGAATGAAACTAATAAAAATAGTACTGTGCAATTTAAATCCAGT